TCAGTCTCAAAGAGACAAAAGTCATCGACTTGCTTCGACCGCAACAGGGCTGACATCAGCTAGCCGCTCGGCTATCCCTCCCCCACCAAGCCCTGAGCCACTGCGTGGCGGCGTCAGTGGGACGCGAGGTTACCCAAGCCGTTCACATAGAACGGAGTGTAGCCTGTCGAGGCGTGCACTGCATTATTTAATGCGAACTTAACGAGTGGGAGCATCTGGCTCCAGCGTTTTGGCGCCTCAGCGCATACGCTTCGGAGGGTATCCTCCACAACGCGATTCACGCGTTCGGTTTGACCATCGGTCTGCGGATGGTCCGCTGTGGACATGTCCAAACGAGTGCCGAGCACTCTGAAGAGGGACGTCCAGAACTTCGCGGTGAAGCGCGGGTCTCGATCCGAGACAATTGCCTCAGGCAAGCCATGTTGGCGAAAGACTCGGTCTAAAAACAGCAAAGCTGAACCTTCACCATCAATGGTGTCCCGGCACTGCCGCTAAATGAGCCATCTTGCTCAATCGGTCAACAAAGACCACTATACCTGTGTTTCCCGCCTTATCCTTGGGAAGGCCAAACACAAAGTCCATACTCATGGACTGCCAGCATCCCTTGGGGACAGGCAAACTCGCCAATGGCGCTGCCGTGCTCGGCGCGGACTTTGTCCGTTGACACGTCTCACACGTGCGTACATAGGTGCCGACCCACTTATACATCTTGGGCCCCCAGTACATCGAGCTCACCGAGCCATAGGTCTTCTCCCGACCTAAGTGCCCGCCCACGGGCGTATCATGAGCCTCATAGAGGATTCGATACTTTAGATCCTCATCATGAGGAACGACTACACGAGGGTTATCCTCAGCGTCGGTGCTGTAGTACAGCAGGCCGCCATCGAGTGAGTATCGATGCAGCCTCGCGCGTAAGCGCCCAGACAATTCCTTGTCAGAGTCTTTAAACTCTCCGCTCCCAAGAGCCCGTAGCAGCGCTACGCACATGTCGTCTTGTGCATACGCT